AGCCCAGATGATCCACACCGCTACGACTAAACAGTCTGAGTGGATGAATAACTTGCTCCATATGCAGACTTCCCAGATGGATCGGCTAGAACAGATTATGACCAAACTAATAAAGGCTAATCCCAATTCTCCCCCCCCGTTCCCCCTCAGTACCCTTTGCTTACTGCTCCTCCTGCGGGAGGACCAGCTCATCCTGCCGCTCCCCTTCACATAGCTAACCCAGCAGGGAGGATCGAATGTTATAACAACAAACAGGCGGGGGCACTTCGCATGAGAATGCCCCCAGCCAAAACGTAATCAGCCTCCCCCTACGGCCGCGCCAGTAGCCTTGAACCAAGGTCGGGTGGCCGCGGTATTAGAACATGCAAGGGAAGTTTCCCCCTTCATCGTCGATCAACCCTCCTCGGCCGATCCGGGCGCATCCACGTCAGGATCCTCTTCTGAGGCTGCGGACATTGTCGATCCAACCGAGTACCTCCAGTTGGCTGGACTGATCGGAGCTATCCGACCCGCCAAAGAAGAACTCGATTGGGTCGAACGTACATCGGAACCATGACCCCAGTTCCAAACAGGAGAAATCGATGTCCTACAAACACTCAAACAGTTGGATATTCGAGTCCCGGTCCCCGTAGGACATTTGTTGACCATATCCGAAGCTGCAAATGACAAGCTTCTCCAGCAATGCCAGAAGAATCAAAAGCACTTTACCTATCAGCGCGTTCAGCGTATGCTGAAGAAAAAGCAAGAAGACGAGAGCGAGGCTAATCCTCCCCCGTCGGTCGAATTGAATGCACCGGAAACGGCAAGAATCGTCGCCATCTCTTACGCCGAGAAAGACCACTTTGTGCGTGTACGATCGGTCCTATGGAAAAGTGCAGAATGTGATTATGAAGTCTGGGGTAAACCGTTCGATGCGCTGATTGACACTGGATCATCAGCAGTAGCCATTTCCCTTAACACAGTCCGAAAGACTGGACGGCTGAATTCCATCCTTCCTCTACCAGGGAAGGACAACTATGTTTCGGCCGATGAAGAGGCTATGAACATCGTAGGAATCATCGAAAACGTTGCGATCAAGGTGGGCCGACTGCATGTGCTGGTTAACGCGTTAGTCATTGACGTACACTCTTATTCGATACTGTTGGGATTGCCCTGGGCAATGGCAGTGGGCGCACGAATCCATTTTGATTCCAAACAACTCGTTCTCACCCATACGGGAGGGAAACCTCAAACGCTTCCTCTCCGAATCTCTACTCGATCACCAAGGAGATATCCCAGTATCGACCGGATAGGAATGATTCAGGACCTGGAGAAATCTCTCCCGAACCCTGATGAAAAACAGCCCCCTGCGTGGGAAGAGGAGTTCAATGAACGCAATTATGAGGAAGAACTGAGCGCTATGGCCAATGAGGAAGAATGGAAGCGATTAACTGAAATGTTCAATTGCGAAGCGAAAGAAGAATTTTGGATGATCCCCGCAACTACTCGAACATTCGATCTAGGCTCGGAAAGCAGCGAGCCCAGCCGTTCTCCGACCACAGAAAGACGGACTCCTCCTACGACATTCCTAGGAGAACCAATCTTGCAAATTTCCGATATGGCTGACCTTTTGGAACCCCCTCGCACGTTATACGAGAGCACGCTTTCACTCCGGGCTAGGTATCAACAGATGAATCACTACCTGGATCTCTCTGTCTCCCCCCCTAGATCACTACTCACGCGAGGAGCCATGATCGCTTTGATCAAGGAAGAGGCAGAGGCTCCGATAACAGACGTTTCGGATCTCATGCAGGAAATGACAGAACTAACAGGAGTAGAGTAGCCAAAAGTGTTGTTGATTCTGAAACCGACGCCGAAGTTAAAGAAACCGAGATGATCAGCCCGGCTGAATCCCAAATGATTGCTACCGTCTTCTCGGTCCGAACCAGTAGTTCCATGTTTTCCAGTGTGCACGAGAGGCGATCACGAAAGATGGATTGGATTGAAACACCCCTTAATATCGCGAATAATGCAGTAATCACCATCCCCAATCATGTCCCCCGAGATATCCGAGGATATGTATCCCCTTCCCCGGATTGATGAGTTGTTGGATGCTATCGGTGGTGCTCGATTCTTTAGTAAATTTGATATTCGACATGGATTCCACCATCTTCTGGTTCAAAAAGAAGACCGCCCGAAAATGGCGTTCATTCATTTCAAAGGAACTTGGCAATGGGTCAGATGCCCGATGGGGATTTGCAACGCCCCAGCCACGTTCCAACGCGCGATGAATATAGCCTTTCAAAACTTCGTGCGAAAAACGCGGCTGGCGCAGAGCATAATCAATTACTGTGCGATTGTGTATATGGATGATATCCTTGTTTTCTCTACTTCCTATGAGGGACACGTGCAACACATTGAGTGGACACTGCACTTACTGAAGGACGCATGATTCAAAGTGGCGGTTGAGAAGTGCCAGTTTTTCCTCACGGAGATTTCCTTCCTCGGCCACGTCGTTACGAGCCAAGGATTGCAGTCAGAACCCCAGAAAGTGACAGTCATGAAGGACGCACCGGTGCTGACGTCGGTAACACAAGTCCACGCCTTTTTGGGTTTGGTATCGTACTATCGAAAGTTCATCAAGGGGTTTGCAGCGATCGCGGGACCACTCACGAATCTGCTAAAGAAGGATCAGCCGTTGATTTGGACTCCGCAATGTGATCGGGCTGTTGGAGAACTCAAGGCGTCCTTGGTTTCGGCCCCAGTCCTCATAAGGCCGGACCCAGAAAAGCCCTTCGTTCTCATCACCGATCGGCAACCGGAAGCGGTTTCGGCGATCTTGGCCCAGGTAGGACCCGACGGCCTCGAACACGTGGTGGAATAAGCGTCCAAAACGATGCCGTCCTGTAAGCGCAACTACTCGGCCCCGACGGAGGAATGCTATGCAGCCTTGTGGGGGATCAGTCATTTCCGAGCATACTTGTATGGCCGAAGATTTACGCTGGTAACCGATCATGAACCACTGTTGGCGCTGAAGAAGTCCAAGGATTACTCGGGCATGATCGGGCGATGGGCCACCATATTGCAGAGCATGGACTTTGACATCCGTCATCGGAAACATGAGAAACACGCCAACGCAGACGGACAGACACGACTTCACCATCCCAACAAGGTGCCAAGGAGTGAGGAAGTGACCCCCTGGCACGACCCGGAACCGACGAACGAGCCTCGATACGGACAAGTGGAGATCCTACTGAAGGGCTAAGTGGACACGTGTACCCGACCCTACCTCTCCTTCCCTTTCCGACTATCGTCTCTCGGAGCAATGGAAAATCCCCCTGACTCAGTCTCTCCTACCTCTTCTGATCCCCTCGCCATTCGGACTTTCTCGCCACTTTTTCGGACAAATTTTGTTATTTTTGCACGAGTATTTCCCGAGTTTACGGAGTAAACTGTTACCCCTTCGAATCTGGATTTGCCGATTGGGTAGATTGTGCCACGTGTGTCAATCGTGCGCACGGTGCGTGTGTTCGATACTGAACAAGTAGTAAGGAATGGAAGTGCCCCCTGTGTAGGACGGACAAGCTCCCTACTGAGGTTCGATTCGAGGCTGCCCGAACGGACGGCCCTGAATACAACGAAAAATACCGACGAGCGGAGGTATGGACATATAAAATCTTATTAGCTAAATTAGCAGGCCTACCATTGGACCATCTCACTAAGCATGACAGACGTCGAGCTACCGAAAGATCCCGAGACTATCGATGGATCAACGGACATTTAGAAAAGCGTAAGACGGACGGATCGGGACTATGGCTGACAGTTCCCACCCTTTTCAGAGATATGACTTGACTAGGTCCGCGCACGAAGAACAGGCCGCTCATTTCGCGATACGTGTCACCGAGGCAACTATCGACCAAAATCGATAGTTTTGGTCTAATATATGTGACGATGTGAAGCACGTGGTTGCTAACTGTCTAGTCTGTGTTGCCGACCGCGCGCCCCTCCATGGGCCAAATACAATAGTCCCTACAGAGGTAGAACGGCCGTTCCAACGGGTCAGTATGGACACAACTGATATAGATGTGCCACCTGGCCCCAACCGCTGCAAATACTCCATTCTCTTGGTGTTGATCGATCATTTCTCGAAATATATCGAAGTTTATCCATGTAAAACCCGAAAGGCCTCAGAGATAGCCACATACATCGACCGATTCCTTAATACCCACCTAGATACAGAGGAGATTCTAACCGACAATGGGTCGGAATTTAAGGGTGAGGTAGAGGAATTACTAATGCGTCGTGGTGTTACGCTTCGACACACTGCTCCCCATGTCTCTCAATCGAACGGACTGGCATAGAATGCGAATCGCATGATAATGACGGCCCTCCGTAAGAACTTAGCGGCCCGCGACACGCGTCCGTGGCCCGAGATTGTCTATCAGATCGTCGGAATCCACCGAGCCACCCCTCATGAGTCCACAGGGTTCACCCCCTTCCAGCTTCGAACTAATAGCCTCCCATGTGTCGACAATCGGGGTACTGCAGAAACTGCCGACAAAGGGGTTCGGGACACGCGTGTGGCCCTTAAGGCCAAAGCCAAGAGATATGCGGATTTAATGGAAAGGGCCGTTCCTAAGCTGGCCCGGAAAAGACAGAAAATGACCGAACTGGCCCACGGTAGGCAGGTCCGTAGCTACGAGGCTCGGAACGGGAATGCGGGCCCACAACACCAATATTAGGGGATCTGGTGCAGGTACGCAAATGTGCACGCGACCGCAAACTCGCTCCCAAGTTTTCTGGCTGCTTTCGCGTCATAGAGCTCGGTCCCAACGGAGCCAACACGGTGCGCATCGCGCCCGAAGCCAGCGCCAGCCATAGCTCTCTCCCCATCGTCCGCCACACTTCCTACCTTCGTCCTCTCCCTCCTTCTGAGGACCTCAACCCTTCTCTTTCTTCTTCATCCTACGCGACCAAAGAACTTGTTTCCTCTCCTTCATCTGCATCCACCTCCACCTCACCTTCGCCATGAGCTTTATCATTGAACCAGCCCTCCCTGCTCAGCTCCTCCAACCTCGAACCCTGTTGCAATTTCGCCAGGTCGCGCATCCCCGTCTTAGTCTCGATCTTCTCCGATTTGTGCAACTCTTTGGCGACGGACCTTGGTGTGCCGCCGTAGAGATCACCATATTCAACAGTCGTTTTAGCGGAAGCTTTGGGAGTTCGGCGCCTTTCGTGGCCGACTCAGAGCGACGTAACGGTGGTAGTAGTCTTCAGCGGCGATTTGTGTACTATTGGCGTGCAACGGCGTGACGCAGTGGTGACTGACCTCTACAAGTGGGGACAAGAGTTGGCAGCTGATTGGTGGCAGCGACTGGCCCAGCCAGGGCGACAAGTAGTGGGGACTGATTGTATTGACACCTTCTCCCTCCGGACCAGCGCTACTGACCGCCCCTCTCGCCCTCTCCCCCATCTTCATCCCTACCCCGAGCGCCGATGAATCGTTTCTCCACCTTCTCTCTCCCCTCCGACCTCCCGATCATCTGGCCACCCTGGGCAAACCCCCTCCTCACTCTAGAAATCCATCCCTCCTCCACCCTCCCATCCAGTTCTGCCTACGTTCGCAAGTGGACCGAGTTCGCAACGATCAGTGTGTGTATGCTCACGGTGAGGTGCCACTGGTCACGATACTATAGCAATCGGGAACTGGAGCACTCTCACGAGATCTCATTGGTACTAGCGCCGCTGTGGCCGAACGAGTCTGTTACCGACGGTACGTTGGTAGGATTGTGTGGGGAGATCACCAAGGGAGGACGAGCCACGGTCGCCTACGAACTTCTCACCTTTTTGTCGCAGCTCGTCGACGATCTACCGACTCACATCATCTCCTACAATCCAAGCGATCCGAAGCAGGCGGGACCTGAGACTCTGGAAAGGAAGTTGACGCCAACGGTAATCTGGGCGAACTGTACGGAGGATTACGGGCAGTATCTGAGCGATCACTATCCGACGGCCTGGTGTTACATGGACTTGGATGAGCTTGCACCCGATAATTCCGACTTCAACGAGTTTTGGCAAGCGCATCGAGAGAACGGAGAGTTGCCACCAGACGACGATCCAGGTCGCATAACCATCGCCGGACTATCGGAGGAAGAAGAGCCAGAAGCCCGGTCAACCTCTCAGCGCCTGAACCCCGGGAAGCCTCGCAAGAACCGCCGCTAGCTCGAGGATCGACCTTGAATCCCGTTGTCCCCTCGGACGCGGCTAGCCGGCACGATGGCGCGCCAACCTCCCGCAGGCGCCGCCGCCCTCGCTCACCTTCCCTGGCCGCTTCCGCCCCCTCCGCGCTTCGTCCGCGTCCTCCTCCCGGCCCGGACGTACCGTCCTCGTCCCGTCTGCCGCCGCCCCCTTGATTTCCTCCGCTTCCGACCTCTCCCCCACCTCGAATTCCCCCCTGAACTAATCGCGTCTTTGCCAGCGGCTTCTTTTGCCATCACTTCGCCGCTCGCCTCCTTTGCACGGTCTTCCCCCATCAATCCCCCTCCTTCCCTCTCAATATCCTTCTCTTTAGTGTCGCCTGGACACGGTCCAACCACATGGAGTTGTACTGTGTCATTTCCGGCACCTTTCCTGCTATGGAGGACTACGAGTCCCTAAGAGATAACGTCCTCCGTACTATTCCCTCCCTATATCCCGATTACCTCCTTTCCTTGACTCAACCCAATCATCGTTTCCCCCGCGCACATCGGATCGTACATTTTGTCGATCTCAGTGATGAAGTGGAGGATTATTTCCCTCCGCTCCCACCTGAATGGCCCCGACCCCTCCATCATCCCCTCCTTGTCGACAACCACCGGGCGGATTTCCAATAGTGAGGCAAGGGTGCAGAGCACACGGACAATCCGCGGACGATGATGGCGTCACCTGGACGACCTCCGGCGGTTCCAGCAGCTCGAGCCAGCAGACTCGCAAAGAAATTGCAATTGAATTTGGCGTTAACATGAGCTCTGGCTCAATTACCTGCTTTATGTGAAGCATCCACCCTCCTGATACGCTTGGTTCCTCATGCATCCTCTCATCCCCCTCTTTCCCTCTTCGCCATGGCATGCAATCAGGAGATCGCATAATTTTTGGAACCCCCTGCGCGTCACATATGTGTCATACTAGCTTCCGGACCTGCGCCATCTTTCGGACCCCTTCCTTTTTCCCGTGTTTTCTCTGCATCCAGATGTGTACAGTTCGACCCCGGGACCCCCCCCCCCCCYCCCCTCTCTGTCCGTGCCCAATTAAAGGTACCTTGCGGGAATCTGTCAGCTCCTTTCCTTTTCGTTTTTTTTTAATTGAAAATGCATGGGAATTTCGCGCGTCTTAACGAGTGCGCTTGGAATTTGGCTCGGCAGTTAGAAATCCCGGGATTATCAGAATGTCGCACGACCTTCCTCGCGCGAATGTTCTCGGACCCGACCTTGAAAACTCTGGGAAATTCTTGTAGGAATATGGATCGACGGAAGACTTTCTTTCCCGTGCCTGTTTTGCGCACGGATATGATACTTCCAATTTTTGAATTAGCATAGGATTAGGAAAAACTGCAACTGTTTTGGTGCCCATTTCCCTCTTGCTGACCGGCGCCATGCAAGCAAACTCCCTTCTCCTTCCTCCCCGCGCTCCCCTCACCACCTCTTTTCGCGCGCATGCTTTCTCGCTCCCTCCTCCTGAACTGTTTTCCCTCCCCCTTCTAGCGCGCGCCCTTTTTCTCTTTCTTGATCATCTGAATCTTGGACCCATTTCGTGCTATCCTCCGCGCTCCTCTTCTTCCCGATCTCAAATCCACGCTCGAAAACCCAGTTGATCCTCTCTCCCCATCTAACCAAGGAGAAGCGTCGTGTAAGTTCTTACTGCACGACGATTCTAATTGGCTGAGGTCGAGTTAGGAGGGGATCAACATGGCTTTCGTCGGCCGGTCACTCTCAAACTCTCTTGTGCCCTCCTCTGCCTCACCCTTCGCCCTTCTCCGGATCTCTCTCCCTTCTCGCAACTATAAATTCCGTCGGCGCCCCCGCAAAACTCTTTCTCTCAACTCATCGGCCAGCTTCCGGGAAGTAGTGGCTAGGTGATGTGCATGGTGCGAGTAAGAAAGTCTTGACGAGCTGACTGTAGACTGGCGGGCGGTGCGCTAGATCGCCACGACGGACTGTGGGATCCAAGCAAGCCACGTCGAGACTAAGTTGGCGGGGTGACGATCGCAGTGGTGAAGGATGATACGCGACGGCCGGGATCGTCGGTGTCGGAATACGGACAGGTGATCTGAGTTGATTGGACGACTGGCCCGGGGCCATATTGGAAATTAGTGGCGAGTACGCCCTCTTGGTTGCGACCCTATTCTTTGGCGTGAATTTGCGGCGGTAAAGCCGGACCTTCTTTCCCTTCCTCGATCTCAGTGTAACTCTTCCTTCCGATCTGGATGTTCCCGTCTGTCTCTGTCGCATTCCTCCTCTTTCTTCCTTGATGTGGATGGGTGTATGTAATAAGTCAAAAATTGGCGTGTGATGGAATGAGTATTATGACTGTGTTGGAATGATTTCTTCCGGAACTCTTCCATTAATTTCCTAGGTAGTCCCCCGAACTAGTGGGTTTTGTCTTGTGAAGGGTGGATGCGCGTGTATCAACCATTAAAGATTCGTCCCTTAACGCCACCTTGTTGGGAAATTGCATGATTGTCATTTTCGCACCTTCCACAGTGAATGCATGCATGGGAGATGAGAGTGAATGGGTACGAAACCCATCTTGATTAGGGCGAGTCGATGGCAGGAGCAATGTTGTTGGGATTTGGAAATGCAAGAATGCCTTGATTTGTGATTGTCGAAGAAATGTTGCGAGTACATATGCGATTTCGCCACGAAATAGCGGCCACATCTCGTCACACATGAGCTTTTCTTTCTCGTTCTCCGAACCCTCTGTTTCTCCTGTCTGGCCTTTCCGATTGGATTGCTAGGATTGCGTGCACGCGATGAATGGTTAACTTATTCCTGATTGTTTGCCATGTGAACTAACGGCCTCAACCTGACTAGGCGCCAGCCTCCCGTATCCCCTCTCCGCCCCTTCCCGTATAACGAGGATAGGATGCGTATCTGTGAGTGGGACATACGAGAAGCCGTCGCAAAGATTTGTGGGCAGTATTATTTTCCTCCTGAAAATCGGTGTTCTGGGTTCGTAGGCGTTGGGTTTGTCATTGTGGATACGCACTTTCCGCCATACTCACTACTACTACCCTTTAACGAGTTGATCGTTATCCCGTGGTCGGCGATGGCACCCCATTGGCCTAACACCTTGTGTATTGATTGCCAGCGGCTCGATCACTACCAGTCGAAGGGGTTCCATTACCGAACGCGGAACGAGGACGAGCACAAGGAAAGGGCCACGTGATTGAAGACCATCCACGTCGGATTCAGAATTGTGTAGTGTGCGGCGTCGGGAGCTAGTGCGAAAACGGGATACTAAACACGTGCCCGCTCCCTTCCACTCCAAACGCCGAGCCGTCGCATGGTGGGAAGTCCGACAGTACTTCTGGATTGAATTTAAAACTTCCCCGCGTCACGAACCCCACGCGGGCCGAAACCCGCCAGACCTCTCACTTCATCAGACCAACACGGGGGTTTTCAGTTCTGTCTGTGTCCCCACACTTAATCTTCCAAAAATTCTTGGCACACCCGATCTTGCTGTTTTTCGGGGCCTCCCTTCCGCACCTTTAGCAGTCCGAACGAAAAACAGCGCAGGGCGTGAGGTTCTGCGCGTCACACACGCGCCTTGTCCAGAGGCATTCAAAATCTTGGCGGATGCCGAGTGGTGCAACTAGTAGGGCCTTAGCTGTGTTAGATGGACCCCATTGCCTTCAGGTGCTCAATCAAAACCTTGAGGACCCCGAGCCACAAGGATGATTTGACTGGTGCAGTAGTGGAAACAGAGACTTCTTTTTTTTTTCTCTTGAGGATCGGGATCCCAAGCGCAACGCAGAAAAATCTGCTGTGCATTAACAACAGAAAAAAACTGGTGTTGTGGTCCACACCAAAAGGACAAATCAAATCTGCTGTGCATTGACAACAGAAAAAACTGGTGTCAACCAGGTGTGGTGGTCCACACCATAAGACAAATCTGCTGTGCATTGACAACAGAAAAAACTGGTGTGGTGGTGCATACCAAAAGACAAATCTGCTGTGGAAGAACAGATTCTGTTCCTCCTGATGAAGATTTCAAGGTGTGGTGGTCCACACCTCCACACCAAAAGACAAATCTGTTGTGGAAGAACAGATTCTGTTCCTCCTGATGAAGATGTCAACCAGGTGTGGTGGTCCACACCATAAGACAAATCTGCTGTGTATTGACAACAGAAAAAAATAAAAACAAAAAAAAATTTCTGAAAAGCTGAAAACATTCAAACCAAGGACTACCAACCAACCGGCCTAGCTTAGTTGGTACACCCGATAACTGTTGAAATATGACCTGAGTTCGAATCGAGACGGAACTAGACGAATGAATCTCTTGAATTAGGTTGGGGGGGGGGGGGGGGGGGGGGGGGGGGGGGGAAGGGGAGGGAACAGAATGACAACCACACAAATCTTTTTTATTTATTTATTTTTTATTTTCTTTTAAAGACGTGCTCCAATCTATTCGTGGGGAGCAACTCCCCAATCATTAGCAGTGCTGATGTTAAAACTGAATGAACTACAAGGTTAGAGCAGCAGGAACACGGCCGAAATCAACTTTTCTACCGAAAAGTTTGAAAACCCCAATGCAAGACCTGGCATTTGCCCTAATGGAATGGGGGGGGGCATGGAACTGGAAAAGCAGACAGCAGGAACAAGAACCCAACTCCAATAACTAACAGTAAATAATAAATACACAGTCACTACAAGCTGCTACTAAAAAAAAAAAACAAGGACCATTCATGCTTGCCCGTGATTTCAAAGCGGGAGGGGGGGGGAAGAAAAGGTCCCTCAGCCAGCAATTAACAGAAGATGGAAGAGACTGATAGAGAGATGAAGAAGAACAGATTCATTAAGATTGATTCCTTGGAAGAGACTCAAGAGAGTAGGAACGTATCAAACCTCTGAAAATTAGAAGCCTTTTCGCCGGTGGAAAAGCCACTGGATTGCCGCTCCCACAATAGTAGCAGCTTTGTTGTCCACCCCCCCAAAAATGGCATATAACCTATGCTGCATTCTTCCACTAAAACCAGTGGCTCCTCTGCCGTAGGAGGAGGAGGACAGCTCCCAAAAACTCAGACCTGTGTGTATTTAGATGCGCTGATAAAAAACAAGAGGACATGGTACACGGTCTTATACAATGCACGGAAGCAAAGAGAATACCGGACTATAGCAGGTGACCTATAGCTCCACCTATTCTCTATTCCCCCTTTCCCGGAACGCCCCAACTTAGCTTCTTTTTCTATGTACTAACATCCCCCTGCCGACTTTAGCAATCCTGAATGGGTGCGGTGCGGTTTGGCGCAAAGGTGACTCTAGGGGCATAATTGGGAGAGAGAGATGCAGCATCACACTCGATGACAAGTGGAACTCCAGAAAGGTGGTGTGGGGATGTGGGCAGCAACAAAAAAAAAAAACCTTACTAAGGCTGAGATCTTTTATGCAAATGCCGAAAGTCCGGGTGGGTTGCTAATTCACTGAGACCCGGACTCGGAACCCACATTGGAAAGGATTTTTTGTTTTTTTCACATACTTGGTGGCTCATAAAGGGCAAGTGGTGGCAACGATTCAAGGTCTACGCATCAGATGGAACAATTGGCACAATTCTGACTCATTGACGAATTTGACAGAGAGACAAGCCCAACTTCAGCAAGAAGAAACCCAAAATCGAATATGAAAAATTAAAATTAAAATTAAAATTAAAAAATAAAAACAAAATTGAAAAATAAAAATAAAATGAAATATGGTTTCGTATGAAACCATATGTATAGCTTTCAACCTCACTCCTGGGATCTATCTTTTAAAACCACGGGTACGTTTGCCAACCATTTTTCTCAGATGTGACTGCATGCACGCTGCAAGCTTTAGGATCGGCCTACCGGAGCGAAATGGCTGGCGGCACCAGCCAAAAGGACACCCCTGCCTGTCCACTTTTTTGGGGGGGGGGCACAGGGCGTTGCGAGCCCCGGGCAAAAGCGACTCAGAAGGACTGGTGGTGGTGGCTTAATGACAACCTTCTGGATAGAATCCAGGAGCGGTGGGTACAAGAATGGTAAGCTGACAACTGTGTAGCACACCGAACATGTTCGGAGCTTTTCCAAAAATCCGAACACGTTCGGGTGTTGGGCAGAACGCCACCCGAACGTGTTCGACCGAACATATTTTTAAAAAAAAATTGGTTTTTGATTTTTAACTCAAGTACGAATTCGAGCATACCTCCAAGGCAACAGTTGTTTGTATTATTATTTTACATCACATATATTTTTTTCAGATTTTTTGGAGAACGTTTTTTTTTAATTAATATTTTTATGTTCGGGTTCGGAGAGTTTCGGCGCTCGTTCGCGTTCAGTCCCGAACGTTCGGTCACCAAACCCGAACACGATGCTACACAGGCTGACAATCCATCCTGCTCCACTTATGGAGCAATGAATGCTGATCAGGGTTCCTTAGGCCAGGCAGAAAAAGCGTGTGTGAGTGGTATTGTAAATTACTACAGTCTCGACTTGCCGGTGGAAAAGGAGCCGGACTGGTACTCCCTGGAATCGATATGTATCCAGGCCCATAAGGACCTGTTTTATCTATAAAAAAAACACAGGAAGAAGAAGAAGAAGAAGAAGAAAAGAAAAGAAAAAAAAGAAGGGGAAGAAAAAGAAGAAGAAGAAGAAGAAGAAGAAGAAGGACTATCTTCAATCAGGGGTTCCTTTGGAATTAACAAAAGGAAACATCTGGTGCATTGTGTAAAAAAAGGCAACTTTCCGGCGCGTGGAAGAGGAACTGGAATGATGCTCCCCACGATGAGAAGAGCAAGGGCCATAAGGCCCAGTTTTTGTACAGAAACGAAAAACTAATAAAAGAATGACTGCATTCGACAAACATTGAGCAGGAATCTCGTTTGGCATCACCAACATTCACTGCCATGGAACGTTGCTTTTCTCAGTTGGAACAGAGTGCAACAGAGCGGCGAACGGGTGTGTAACACGTGGGAAATTCTACCAAACAAACAGTCTAAACTGTCTCCAAATCGCACAGCGAGATACTGAAAAAAAAAAAAACACTATTATGTCCATTTCCGAATCAGAGCCAGTAGCATTAAATGACAATAAAAATAAAAATAAAAATAAAAATAAAAATGACAGCGCTGTGCTGCATCATTGTTAACCGCTATCTGCCAACAAAGAATATGCGTGTGTTAACCTATGCCCCCTGTTGGTCTTGAGTGGCAAGGCAAGGCCAAACAATACCATAACTGTGGCGATCTATTTATTTATATCGGGAGCACCGCGTTCCAGTACCTATGGGTTTGGGGGGCCGGCCGTTAATGCCGAAGCCGAACCAGCCTGCCCCTCCGGTCCAAATTCATTTGAGGGCCGGGGGGGGGGGGGNGCTATCTGCCAACAAAGAATATGCGTGTGTTAACCTATGCCCCCTGTTGGTCTTGAGTGGCAAGGCAAGGCCAAACAATACCATAACTGTGGCGACAGGGTTTCAAAGAGTTTGAAGGGTCTTAAACCACCAGTACCTACTGGTTGGGGCGGCCGTTAATGCAGTAGCCGAATCGGCCTGCCCCTCCGATCCAAATTCATTCGAGGGGGGGGGGTACGAAAAATGCGGTAGGTACTGGTGGCTTAAACCGCCAGTACGTTTCCCAGCCACTACATATTTATTGGGAGCACCTTGTTGTTCCTAAAAACCACCAGTACAGTCCCCGACCATTTTTCCGAAGTCGGGGCTTGCATCGTGCCCCAACTTTTTCGGGGCTCGGCCGCCGGAGCAAAATGGCAAGCGGCGCCTGCCAAAAGGAGGCCCACAACGGCTCCTTTCTTTTTTTGGCGCGCACTGCTTCCAGCCCCGGAAAAAAGAAAAGTGCCTCAGGAGTACTGGTGGTTTAACTATTTCTACTTTCAGGTAATCATGGTGGCTTGCATTTTTTATTACTTCAAACAAGTTGCCCTCTGTTTCCCGGCTGATCGTCTGGATGAAATACCTCAGTTTGAAACATCATGGAGGCTTGCATTTGTTACTTCATGTCATGTTCCACTCTGCTTCGCGTTCGTCGAATCTGGATGGATCTGGACGATCGAGCCCCATGAAGGCCGCATACTGGACCGTCTGGACGAAATAGCTATCTGTTTGAGGCAGAGACTCTGCTGCGATCTCGATCAGAGAATAGCAAAGCATGCTCAGCTGACTGGTGACCTTGAAGCATATAAGCAAGGAGTTGCAAAAGTCCAAAGCCCGCCGTGCTCGCAAATCCGATGGACGTGCCTGATCGATGATTGACACCAAGCGGCCAACAAAGTCGTTCGCCATCGCAGCTACCTCCTGTTTGTACCCCTCTTCGCAGGAGTAGAGTGTGTCGTTGCTCTCTATGCTCACCACATGGCAGGGTAGCCTCTCCTGGAAGAGAGCTCCCATCAACAGCAGGAAAGCACAACAGGTTCTTGCCCCCCTTTGTAACAAGCCATCATCATATGAAAGCCAAGGGTGGTCATCCAGTACATTAAGAAGACCCTTGAGGAAATAAAACACACCGTACTCTGGGTGTCCTGGAGCAACTACCAAAAAGCCTGCCACTTTGCACAGAAAGCCTACGACCTGCTCTTTTCCCTCCTTCGTCGCCGGTTTGTCGGCCGCCGCCGCCCAGCTTTCTCCTCCAATGCAGCCTTCCTGCAGGCAAGTCGCCGCACTCTTTAGCAGTGTCTCTGAATGGCCGACAAACCCATTGAGAAGAGCCACCTCCGCAGACTCAAGAAACAGATGCAATCGGACGATCACGCTCCGGATCGACAGGATCGTAATCTCGTTGAACGAAACGCAAGCCTTTGCGAAATCCTTAGTTCGCTTCGTATGAATGCCACTGCCCGCGCCCGCGATCCCTAACAGCACCCGAATCGCCAAGTTGTTAACCAAGTGAGCCACAGCTTGCTGGGAGTAGTCCGTGTTGAAAAAAACAGCTCTGCAATCTACCAAGAAGTTGAGGCCCTGCTCTCTGTCCTTCTTGAAGTCAACCAGCTGTATAAATCTGGTGATCAGACGGGCGACTTGCTGCCGGTCGTTGTCGCCACTTATACTGTCGAGGGAATCGTGAAGCGCTTTTGCGATATCGAAAAGGAAATGAACTGCCACAACATCAGCGACCTGCTGCTTCCCGTTGACCACAGACAGCAAGATCCGCTTGTACATGGAGACCTGAAGCTCCCCATAAAACAGATCAAGGATGCCAATAAAGTGTTGCAAGGATAGAGCATCAACGAGCTCGTGGTAATGTGTCAGCAATTTGAATAGGATTGATTCGAGGATGGCCAAAGCGCCATCGTCGACTTTGGCATTCTTCGTGTGGTGGAGGATGTCTCCGAGAAACGTGTCCACCTCCCTCTGCGTGAAGTTCTTCAGGACATAATCTGTGAATGCATCTGCCACCGACAAGTACTCCGGCAAGCAGGACTGCTTGCTCACAACCCTCCACACATCATTGAATACTGCAAGTCTCTGCTCCCTAGGAGGCGCGCACTCACAGAGTTTGCGGCCCAGCACCCCGTAGCTCATGTGCTGTGGAACGGAACCATCAGTGGCATCCTTAATGACGGCTGCAAACAGACGAGCCGAGGAGGTCACAAAAGTGGCAGGGAGCTCTGTCAGCAGCCAGTAAACGACCGATGCTACGGGTGGGCGGCCTTTTCCAGCATCAGAAAGAGTCAACCCACCATGGCCTCCAATACGAAAAGACCCCCGAACTCCTTGTCCAAAAATAGCAACAACCTCACGCATGAACTCGGGAGAAGCGTGCCTCAGCATGCACTGCACTATGAACTGAATTGCGGGCTCCATCAACTGCAAATAGAGGCCGAAATCGACCCCAGACGAAGCCATATGTTCATCAAATTCGTGACTAAGTACCCTTCGAAAAAGCTGAAGGAAGTCGTCCAATCCCTGAACAAGATGCACTTTCTCTAGGGGCATGATGCACAGTCCCCGGCGTGCCAGGTAGAGCTGAGCATAAGCTGCAGCGAGAGGATCTGCCAGTCCTCTGATCATAGATGTCAGCCTCTGAAACAATAGCACAGGCGGACCAGATTGCAGAAAGTAATAGCAACGGGCTATAGCCATCTCGATGTACAGACGAGGGAGAAGCTCGTGAATAGAACCGATCTTGTGAAACCAATTGAGACAGGTTTGTTTGGCTTCTGGGCGCACATCGTCAGAAGTGAATTTGGCCGGCAAAGGGCATAAGATACGGTCGGAGTTGTCGTCCCTTTCACACCTTGCCTTGATCCGGTTCCACACGAGCTCTCCCACCGTGTCCATGATGTCTGTGACCAGCACGAAAAGCGTTGGGTAGAATTGGGGGACCGACGTGTCAGACAGGAGTCTGGCGACTTTGACAGCTGCCTTCAATGCCAAGACGCGTTCGTCGCAGCGCCATGCAAGTGCTATTTCGCTCTTCAGCAACCTGAGATACGTCACGTATTCTTGCTGTGAGATGATCTTCGTCTCCTCCCTTGCCTCCTTGAGAGGGTTATCGAGTTCCTCCAGGCGGGAGGTGATCGAACTCACCTTGCCTTTGGGTTCTTTGGACATGATGTCAAAGGACAGAGAGACAGAAATAATCCCAGTTGCCGTGAACTTCTGCATAATCACCACCTTTCTGGCGTTCCATGCAGCAGCTCCTTCTTCGGCACATTGGTCTAGGGTTGTCCTCCTCGAACGAGCATCATGGCGTAACAGCCTTGGGCTTGGTTCTTGGGCTGAAAGTGGGTCTTCCTCCTCACCCAGTAGGGGCGAACAGAGAGGGTCATCCCAAGCCCCATCATCGTCTGAACTAAATTTTGTCTCTTCACTCCCCTCCCCCTCCTTCCCCTCCTCCTTCCCCTCCTCCTTGCTCTCCTCCTTTCTCTCCTCCTTTCTCTCCTTCTTTTTCTCCTCTTTGCTTCCCTGTAGTCGAATCTCTGCGCTGGATGAACACACCATAGCCGTGTGATTTTCGTTTGTTCTTCTTCTCCTCCGTTCACTAAACTTTCTGTCCTTCTTCGGCTCTTCTCCACTCCCCTGATCACGAAGAGGGTGTTCTTTAGGTGTAGGGACACGTGGCAGCGACCACGTTGTTTCCTCTTGGGTGTAGTCTCGACGCCTGAGTTCTAGTTTCCACCTGCCACCTTCTTCCAGTCGAAAGCACCTAGCGCGGCGCTCCATATCTACTACCTCCTCTCCATCCGCCATCGCCAGTTGCTTTATCTTCTCTCTCTGTGTGGCAACTTCGCTCCTTGCATGCTCTCCTCGTTAGCCTTCTTCTCTCTCCCCTTTACGCCTAACTTCATCGACCTCTCCAGTGTTCCGTTCACTTCCATCCTCACTCCATCCCCTCCCCCCCCCCCTCCCCTCCCCTCCCCCTCCTGTCTAGGGCATTCTCCTACTACGAAATTTTTTACTTACTTATGGACTTAACTTAATTGCGGTCAGATAGATCCAGCTCTGGCCGTAAATGCGGTCAGGTCCTAGTAATTAGATCGGGGCAGCCATCGAAACAATTGCGATACAACACTACGGTAGTCGTCAGAAATCCGCGCGAAATGAAAGCGCGCCAGTTCCTCAGAAACCCGCGCGCGCAATGACAAAGCGCGCCAATTCCTCAACGGTTAACCGATTTCACTATCCTTGATGATTGCGGCCTCTACCCACCATTCATCCTCCACCGCCCGGAATGCGTTCGGCTTCGTTTTCCCTTCCTTTCGGCGCGAGCACGTGTTTTTTTTTTTTTTTTTTTTTTTTTTTYTTTTTGGCCAAATCTTCGTGGAGCAAAACTGAAAAAAAAAAAAAAAAAAAAAGAACTGAAAACTACAAATTACCTAATTCTCAATACACATTACTGTTTACGACCGCCTTCCCCAACGGCCAATTCAATCGTTCACCCCCTTTTTTCTATGAGACTCAGGGCATACTCTCACACTACACTAGCACTTCCCAAAATGCATCTGACTGTAATTACGGCCACACCGTGATGAATCTGACTGCAATCACATCATCGTGTTAGTACATGCCCGCCCTTAGCGTTACATGCCTTCTGGATCCACGTTGCATTGCTCCATTTCCATTTCTACCCAGCTTTCACAGCGATGATTGCAGACTCCAGATTTTATCAAATCTCTCTCTCTCTCTTCTCCTCCGTCGCCGCGCTCACGCAACTACCACGGGGAGTCCCGCACCTCTCCCACCTTCCGCCGCCTCCCGCCACCTTCCGCCACCTTCCGCCATCATTTCTCAATCTGTGAGCAATAACAAAGGCGAGCGATGAGATCGCAGCAGCCGTCGGCGCGCAGAGGCCCCACGACAACCACCAGAGTCTGCCTCTGTCCTTTCGTTCAGATCCACTCTCCACGGAGATGGGTAAACCCTTTGAGCACCCATCCATGCATTCATTTAGGGCATACTCACACAGGTAGCATTTTCCTCGATGTATGTATCTGAACGGCCGTAACAGGATGAATCTGTCTGCAATCGACTCCAGAGCTTAGTAAATGGAATGCCCTAACTCATGGCGTTCTCGTCGCAAATTAAGCAAAACCCTTGTCTGTGAGCATCGTAAAAGCGTCATTCTCTTTCTCTCAGACGAAGATACACCCCCTTTCATTCGAAGCGGCTACCGTCTTCACCCGAATAGACCCGAATAGAACGCCGGCGATTATACCTGTATCTGGACTGAAAGTTGCACCCAATGCCGCTAAAATTGCCGGGCGTTCTATTCCGGTGAAGAGGTTAAGGGTCTGATCCCAACACTACACTACACCCCAAGTTCAGTGTCCTTTTGAGATCCCAGGACTTTCCAACGCTGTCGCGGCCGCGGAAATATTTTGCTTCATGTGTCGTGGCAGCATCGGCGAAGGGCGCGAACGTAGTTACTACAAAGAAGTCAGAAGTCGGCATCGTCCGATCCGGTTTCTCTTTTTTTTTTTCCTTTTTTTTTTGGGAAACGGTTTCTCTTTTGGGAAATTTGTCTGGCGCCCCTGTATTTTCCATTTATTTGCGTCGCGCCCCTCCGACATGTGAAATACCCTGCCGCGCCCCTCTGACCAGTAGTGAAATGTTTCATAAACTCGTGGCGTCGTTTGGGCCTCACATGTTTTTGTAGTGCCCCTACCGGTACCCACAGCAAATTTGTATCATGCCCCTACCGGATAGCCATTGGGAAAATTTCCGATATGCCCCTACCGGTACCGTCGATCTTTTCACTGTGCCCCTGTTGCCGTTGGAGGCACTCAGGATCAACCTGACCGACAATAACCATGGACTGCTGCACCCCAGATCCGCCCTCAGATAGGCTGTCTGCCTGTCTGCTCTCTCTCTCTCTCTCTCTCTCTCTCTCTCTCTCTCTCTCTCT